GTTTTTTATCAAATTTTAGGATTTTCAGTGCGGCTTATAGTCGTGAAAATACGGTACTTCTTTTGTATTTACGATCTCAATTGAGCCCAAATTTATGTTGTTATGTTATGTTGAGATATTTGTTAAGTGAATTTTGTTCCATTTTATGACCTTTCTTGCCACAGATGTTTAGTCAACGACTACAGTTGATAAGTTAGTAAGTTATTAAGTGAATCTGGCTTTCCCATTGACTTTGGTTGTCAGAAGATCACAAAAAGTGATCACATGACTCTGGGACACTGCAACGGTCATAAATATGAATCAATTCCCAAGCATCCAAATTTTGATCATAGGATCATAAGAATACTGCAAAGGTTGTAGCGTTCATAAGTCACATTTTTAAGTGCCATTTTGCTTTTGAACAGTCACTAAACAAACTGTTGTAAGTCGACGACTACCTGTATTGTATAGCTCAAAGTTGAAAACGTCAGACTGGTAATTTTAAATATCTGAATGTATTTTGTCTCAAGGAAGAGGGAAATATTCTTTCTTTTAGTGCCTTCTCATTTTTTATCTTAATAAAGTTTATATTTATTGCTCAAATTAAAAAAATAAAATGAAATCAAGCCCACAGATATAATTTATTAAGCTAACAACTTTAGAGCCTTTAGCACTCATTTATAATGATTTCAGAAAATGAGTTGTGTAGTCAAGTAATCAACCAATCATTAACTCACTGTCTTTTCCACACAGGATATTATAGTAGCTTTTTGAATAGCCTTATATATTAAAACTATAGTCCAACTGTTTAAAAATTCTACAGCTCTTTCAAAGCTAAATTGATTTGGAGAGTGATAAAATTTAGATATAATTACATAATTTTAGCCCATGTTTCCTGCTTGTAAGGCTTTATAATCATGATCTATAAAAGGAATTTTTTTTGACGTTATGAAATTTTTATTAAGTTTTAAGCTTTTCTTAAATATTGCTGTATTTTAAGGTAAGGAAAATTTTGCAACTCCCTGTCATATGGTTCCATTTATTTAATGAAATTTTAAATCATTTTTCAGGATAAATTTTCTGCATAGTGGAATAATAACAACAAATAGTAAATGTATAATATTATTTCTTTTAGATGCAGGAATTACGGAATGCAGAAGGAACTCAATATAATTCCCATCCCCAGATAGCAGCCATGAGGCCAAGGGTCCAGCCTGGAGATATGAGGCAACCAGGAATAATTCCACATGGGCAGCTGACAACTATTAACCAGTCACAACTAAGTGCTCAGCTTGGTTTAAATATGGGTGGAAACAATGTTCCTCACAACTCTCCATCTCCCCCTGGTAGCAAATCTGCCACTCCTTCACCATCCAGTTCAGTTCATGAAGATGAAGAAGATACTTCAAAGGTATGACCAACCCTTTTAAAACAGTGGTTGTTTGTAAATAGCACAATAAAACTTTAAGCATTATTTAATAAAAAAATTAAACTTTAATCAGTTTTAAATGCCTTTTTTTCAGATGTGATACCATTTATAAATTCTATACTCAAAACATTATAATTGAGAATTTCTCCCAATAAACTTGTTTACACAGTATGCCTCCATACTGTGGAAATGTGTTAACTTTCTTTTTTTCAGCCTCATCCCATTTTAACTAAACATACGTAAATGCTTCATGTAATAATTATTCAAAATACTCAGTTTCTTTCCTGTTGTATTCCTGTTGTATATATATCTTTCTTTCCTGTTTCTTTCCTGATCCATTAAATATCAAATTAGCATCTGAACTTCAACTATCTGAAATTTCTATTTACATTAATAGGTTGGGTGAATAAGTATGTGAACCATAAAAATGTCCAAAAAATTAAAGGCCTGAGATTAGAAAAAGAAAAGAAACCATAACTGAATCTAATTTACAAAACATTATTTACCATACCTCTTGCATACTCACCTACTCACGCAAACCATTCTTCCCCTATACTTTATATTATTTCATATATTGATTTTTGTTCTTTAAACTTGCCCCTTTTCTTTTTCAAAATTACATAAATTACATAAATTCTATTCAATCATAATTTACCAATACTCCACATCTTACAACCACAATTGACCCAAGAATTTCTGTTGCTAAGCAAAGCAACTTAAAACTTGTTCATATGGCTCAATTGTGGTTTGCATCTTTTGCTTGTATTATATTTATTAATACATTTTTACATTTTTACATTTATTAATAAGGTTTTATATACATGTACATTATACATGTACAAGTTTTATTTATTGTTTCTTCTGATTGTTGTTTTTCATCCAGAATTAACATGAAATAGACAGATATATAAATTTAATTAATATATAAATACTTGTATGTTTATATTCCACAATGATACACAAATGGATCTACTTGATCTCATTTGTTGCCTCATCTTACCATTTTTTGCTCAGTTTTCTGGATAGCACAACAACCTTTGTCTTAGATACATTTATTTTGAGATCCACAGTCTTGTTATACCATACATTCGGTCTATTATTTGGTACAAATTGTACCAAAATTCTTTTCAGTTATCATCAGCATTTCTTATATATTTCTCCATAGATACCTTTACATTGAATGAATGAATGTCAAATGATTCACTAAGTGTTCCATTTACTCTCCGTCATCCTTTATTTCCACTATATCACATTCATTAACCAAATCTATACTTCCTTAAACCCATAATTTAAGCCTATCAACATTTGTTTGCAAATATTTTCACAAAATAAATAAACTTCAAATGTTACTTTTCATATTCATAAATCATGATTAACTGAAGGCCAAAATTCTGATTGGTACCCCACTACCCAAGGCACTTCAAAAATTTTCTTCTGTGTTATTGCTCATTTTTCTTTAATGTGCTAAAGCCTACTAAATACATTCATAGGCATGCTTGACCATAAATGTTATAGCATTATTTCCAATTCCACTATTCAACAAGTTCACATCGTTCCCATAGAATTCTCTAGATTGCTCCTGCTGGCATTTTTTTTACATCAGTTTCTTTTCACTTCATTGCTTTTATTTTTAATTCAATTTAAACTGCTTGAAGCAATTTAATTAACCTTCACACACTTCCCAAAATACTTTTTATTTCTGTCAGAATTGGTGAATATTTTTACCATCTTCTTTCATTTTAACTGTTCCTTGGTATCTTTTGATTACATTCTTTGTGCCTTTTTTCTCCCTTTTAACATACTATAATAAGTTTCCTCATCTTCATTTTGTGAAGCAATCATTGTCATGCCTTCATCATTACTGAGTTGAACTGCAGTGTACTGCAATGCATGAGACTACTTTTGAAGACTCATTTAGAGTGGGTCAGAAGCTCCAAAAAGTACACAATGCAGTGACCCCCCCCCCCTTGTTACTGTGAGCTAATCACCAAGAACATATTAGCTTGTATTACGGGCTGTCCCATGCATTTTTATTATCCTTCATTCCACAAGACATCATTTTTATATTTGCATTTGTATAATTCCACCTACTCCTGTAACACCTTGTAACAGAATTCTTTTCATTCTATTCCAACCAGTTTTCATATACTTTTCACATCATGGCCCCACCTTTTGCTTGGAGTGGCTACTAGCTAATTATGCTTCCACTATCTTATCTTTCCAAAATAGCAATAGCAATAGCAGTTAGACTTATATACCGCTTCATAGGGCTTTCAGCCCTCTCTAAGCGGTTTACAGAGTCAGCATATCACCCCCACAGTCTGGGTCCTCATTTCACCCACCTCGGAAGGATGGAAGGCTGAGTCAACCTTGAGCCGGTGAGATTAGAACCGCTGAACTGCAGATAACAGTCAACTGAAGTGGCCTGCAGTACTGCACCCTAACCACTGCGCCACCTCGGCTTCTCATAAAGTATACATTCCCTTGGTGAGGGTTCTCACAATCTATACTATGGGTGTCAAATTCGCCACGTCAAGTTACCGTCACATTATGTATCGCAACATTTTCTCTTCATGGAGCTGAGGTGGACATGGCCTGCGTGTGACACATCCAGCCTGTGGACTGCCAGTTTGACACCCCGATCTATACTGTCTTTCTGATGTTGGGGAAAGGACATAAATAATTACTGTAGGTCCACTTTCTGGCCATCAAGATATGTGGCTATAGGATTCAGCCCTTTCTTATAATAAATTGCACAAAAGATTAACAAAATCAAACTTTATTTATAAAAAATAAACCATAAACCATTTTTATTCTTTTCGACTTTATTAATATGCTATAATTCACTATTGAAGAAGGTAAATGCAGACCTGTTGAAATCACGGGCAAACAGCAGCTTTAAAAGAAAAATAAAATACAATAGAACCATTGGTCATGAATGCTTCTGACCACGATCAAATCAGGTTCTGACCAAAAAAAATCATATTTTTTTTCGCGGCCCATTTCCCCTTCTGCATAATTTTTGGGGGGTAAGCGCCAAATTTCCAAAATTAGGTTCGGGCCATGACCAAATCGGTTTGCAACCAAAGGTATGGAATGAATTATGGTTGTGACCAGAGATTCTACTGTAATAATAATAATAAAGCAATGTTACTAGTATACCACAGGAAAGTTCTAGTCTGCTACAAATAATAAAGAAATACATGGTAAAGAGATTGGAGTAGGTTATTAAAATTTGAATTGGCAAAGCTTTTATCTCTTCGTGCACAGTCTGCACTATGCATAGAAAGCTGAAGTATACATAATTATAGACCTTGCATATATAAATAAAAGAGATGATATTTGCATAGTAGAGAGCAATAAACACCAAAGTTTTACAGCGTATTTTTTCTTTTTCTTCAGATATAGTATATAAAGCAACTATCACTCTGATTCACTTTTCCTAGATTTTCTTTTTTTCCAGAAAATTCTAGTCTTTAGTATGAGCTTTAGGGAATCGGTTATCTCCTCTTTTCTCAGTTTCAACTGAGCAATGGTTGCCTTGATTTAAAAATAACAAAAAGCTGTTTTTTATCCCCTCAAATAAAAGAGAGAGGAGCATCTCTCTTTGTACTTAACTAGAATCAACTCTCTCTTATGAAAAAAGACATTCTCTATTTGTATTTGTATTGGCTTATTGGCTCTGAATGTCAGACTTGTAGCATATTTAATCAATTTAATTTAAAATCAGATATTTTTTCAAGTATTACCCTCAGCACTCCAGCCAAATCAAATCAGGCATTCCCCCCTCCCCCAACCCACTTCTGATTTAGTTTAGATAAATCTAAATGTATCAATAAGCAACTGATATTTCTGAACAATTGTTTCTGAATACCTTTAAAGTTGTCTAATATCTACTTTCTAATTTTCCTCAACTTAGATTTGACCTCTTAAATATTCCAAGTACTGCCTTGCAAAACAATTCATTATTTTGGTTCATTGAACATGCATATTCTGGTAATGCTATTTATAATTGTGACATGCTAGACACATGATATTTTCACAAATCTGTATTCTTAACTAGATGGATGGCTTTCTCTTTCATGGGTATTTAAATTTCATATATGAAAGGATTTCATGGAATTTAGAGAACAGGGTATGAGAGGATTGTCAACAGCAAATGTTAACTAAGTGAAATATGATCACTAAAGCTTTGCTGTGTTTTTTGTTTTTTGTAGCAGAAAACTTAACAGTTTACTTTATTTTAAGTAGAATTTTATGTTGTTTGCTCAGTCTGTTATGCAGATGGTACTTGAATTAAAATCTGTTTAATCTATGTTCAATAAAACAGCTCTCCTACCTTCCATTTAAATCCTGGAATTATTGCTGTTTATTTTAAATATGCGTTTAGGTATTACTTAGCTTCTCAGGGAGGATTTAGATATCATCATTACATCTTTTTTGATAGTCTTAAATCCTCATCTATCTATACTTGTGATCTATTATTTGTGAATCATAGCTAATACAGATTTTTAGAGTGAGTGACTTGTGCTGTCTTGTGATAAATAAGTTAAATACATCACTATAATTAAGCAATGAGGCCTGACAGGAGGTGGATTACCACAAGCTAACTATACCTCCAGGGATTTTGAAGTAGAAGTCTGTGCTTAGCAAAATAAGAATGAGAATTTTTAAACAATTTCCCATCTGTCTCCATTTTGATGGCTAGCAGCAAAATCTGTATAACTGCTGATTGGTTAGAAGCATAAGATTCCAAAATCACCCTCTTCGTTTCCAAGTTATTAATGTGAAATTAGTTTTAACTTCCTTGTTTGAAAAAAAAAATCCAGTGAAACATTCATCCTGTCTCAGAGAGAGCAGTTTTCCTATCTAATCTTCTGTGTATGCCAGTAGTTACTTGGTAAGTATCTATTCTAAGTAGCTGAATAATGGTTAGCTAAAAATGTATAAAAATTTGGGTTTCCACCTTTTGTGCTGCAAGT